TCTAGATATACATATGTGTATTTAATGAAACATAAACATGAAGCATTTAACATGTTTAAGATTTATAAGAATGAAGTTGAAAATCATCTAGGAAAGAAAATAAAAATCTTAAGGAGTGATAGAGGTGGTGAATACTTTTCTAGTGATTTTAATTTATTTTGTGAACAACATGGCATAATTCATCAATGTTCTGCACCAAGGACTCCCGAACAAAATGGTTTGGCTGAAAGAAAGAATAGAACACTAGTAGAAATGATTAATGCTATGCTTATATTTGCTAAGTTACCTTTTAACTTATGGGGTGAAGCTTTATTAAGTGCATGTAGGATACTTAATAGAATTCCTTCAAAACATACTAAGGTTTCTCCTTATCAATTATGGAAAGGAAGAAAACCAAACATTGGCTACTTCAAAGAGTGGAGGTGTCTTGTTTATTTCAAGAACACGAACCCTAATAGAAACAAATTAAGTCCAAGAGGCATTAAATGTGCTTTTGTTGGATATGCTAACAATAGCAAATCTTATAGATTGTTAAATTTGGAGACCAATGTGATTATTGAATCAAGTGATGTAGAGTTCTTTGAAAATTCGTTAACCTCGAATAACGAATTAAGGGAAAACCTTGGAAATATCCCAAGCTCAAGTGGAACACGGGATGAAATATCTTCTAAAGATATTAATGAATCTAATGAACCACGAAGAAGCAAAAGAACTAGAGTTAAGAAGTCTTTAGGACCGGATGAAATTGATTCTCAACTTATCTCATTTTACTTAGTAGAAAGAAATGAGTTGAATGTTGTAAGAACAATTCCTTTTGTGCTACAAGTGGAAACCGATCCTAAAACTTATAAAGAAGCTATGGCTTCTCGAGATAGCATGTTTTGGAAAGATGCAATCAAGGATGAAATGGATTCAATAATGTCAAATAAAACTTGGGAACTTGTCGATCTACCACCCGGATCCAAACCTATTGGTTGTAAATGGGTATTTAGGAGAAAATATAATGTTGATAGTTCTCTAAATACTTTCAAAGCTAGACTTGTAGCCAAAGATTATCGATAAAAGGAAGGAATTGACTATTTTGACACTTATGCACCAGTAGCAAGAATAACTTCAATTAGGATATTGTTTGCATTAGCCTCGATATATGACTTGTATGTTCATCAAATGGATGTCAAAACGGCATTCCTAAATGGGGATCTCGATGAGGAGGTTTATATGGAACAACTAGAAGGTTTTGTTGTACCAAGAAATGAACATAAGGTATGCAAGCTAATTAAATCGTTATATGGGCTAAAGCAAGCACCTAAGAAGTGGCATGAGAAATTTGACTTAGCAATTATTTCATATGGATTTAAATATAATAGTGTAGATAGATGTTTGTATTCTAAAGTGTGTGATGATTACATGATATTTATATGCTTATATGTTGATGACATGATGATTATAAGTAATCACATGGATGGGATAAAAGAAACGAAGAGGTTTCTATCTTCCACATTTAAGATGAAGGATCTTGGACAAGTCGATACTATTTTGGGTATCAAAGTCTCAAAGACTAGTGGGGGTTATTACCTTAGTCAATCACATTATATTGAGAATGTGATAAATAAGTTCAAACATTTGAACATAAAAGAGTATAATACCCCTATTGATCCAAGCTCAAAACTTGTTAATTTTGAACAAGTGGAGGATTGTTATGAAGTGGTATAATTGTTCAAAACCAACAATAAAAAAAAAATAAAAAAAATTAGGCCATGCGACCATGCGACCGCATGGAACCCTACCGAGACCATATGGTTTCGGTAGGATTGTACTATGCGACCGCACATGGTACAGAAAAACGACCGTTGGGTCATTTTTTGTTGGTTTTTTGGTGACTTTTCATCCATAAGGTACACCACTTCGTAAAGCTATACTACTTGGCTATAAATAGGTGATCTTGGGTCATTGAAAAATGTTGAAAAAAACACTTATTATATTGATCCTTCTTGAGATCAAATCCAAAAGATAAAATACCCTCTCATATTCATCTTTTCTTTGTGTTCTTAAGTTTTAGAGATTCAAATAAGTGTTTAGTGTTTGAATCTCTATAAGGCTTGATTAATCCTTCAAACCTTTTGCCGGATCACCCTTTAAACACCAAAATAGTGGGGGCAAAATTCGTTTGAGGACAACAATAAAAGATTGTGTTTGAGCCTTCAAAGTTCTTCATATATCCTTTGCCATTTGTTCATCTCCTATACTTCTTTCGATAATTTTTCTATTTGTAATTCGTTCTCATCTTTGGTGGAGTAACATTATTTCCAACAATGGTAATGAACATATTGATTATAGTGTTATATTATGTTCACTTGTATCTCTGCCATTCACCAGATACACAACACAAAAGGTAATGCAATTAAAGATGTTGACCGGTAAGTGATAGAGAAGAACCATTTGACTTGTTACACATGTTAATGACAATTGGTGAGATTACATTCATGAATCCATTTTTGTTCTTTCATTTCGTGTAATGCCTCCTTGAAATACTTGTTTCTTTCTCTTGTTTGAGACAAGTTGTGAAGTATGAGAAGTATTAGTCCCCCACAATGTTTGTGAGCAAGTAATTGTGTGATAATGAGCAAGGAATACTATCTCTGTGCTAAACAAGATGTATTGAACTCGTGATACTTTGGAAACTTTTTATAAATGTCATCAATCGAAGAATCCATGTCAAGTAACCTGCTGAAAGGGAAGGAGACAATGGCAACTCACCTCATATAAGAAGGATAAAAACCTTGAATGAATGTCACACAAGCGAAGACCTTTTTTCCAAAAAGTCAAAGCCACCATTCTTTCGTGATGAGCTCTAGCGAACAAATTTTATGTGTTTTTTCCTGGAAAGAAATGTATTTTTTTCACGATAACAAGTTCGATGTGAGCTGAACAAACAAAAAAATGACTCAACTTGATCTAGGCATTATCATCAATTGGAATTATATCCTATCTTTATTGAGCAAATCGCATCTTCTCCCTAGAAATAAGGCGATAAACAAAAGGTTATCATCCAATTCTGCTCGATAATAAGTATCGGGGCTTAATACAATAATGTCGCTAGCTTGCATCCTATTTGAGACCAAGGCAGGTTAGGAACAATGTCCTATCATCTTTATCAAATCCCTAGCTCCTCCTTGGTGCAATTAATCAAACAACAAAACTACTTGTCACAAATAACATCAATGGTTGGTCCGAGAGGATGAGAAACTAAACAATCTCCTTCGAGAGGCAGTAGTAAAGAATTTTTCACTACGGAAGAAAGCTTGATGCTTCATTACCGTGTGGGTCCAATGAAATATTTGATCCACCGGTATGATTAGGCCTGACGTCACGGGCTCAATATATTCTACAGCCTATCCCATGATCACTGATTAGTAGTTTCTACCGCGCGGTTAAGAGAAAAAGGACTTTATGTCAAAAACGCGACTTTAGTTGAAATTGTAGAGAACTGGCCCTTTTCTGGGCTCGCTATTTTATTCCTTTATTCTGAAGGACTAGAAATGGCTGTGCTCTTCCCTTCAGCTTATTCCGTTGGTAAATGGGGAAGTTGTAGATTGATTGATTATAAATTCGACAGTACGAAAATAAAGGAGAGAAAAATTCGATTTCACAGCTCCCGTTTCGTTACAATTGCAATGTGTGCGTGTAATTCTTCTTCAAAGTCCCTGAGAAAGAAAGTGTGGATATGGACGGAGAACAAGCAGGTGATGACGGCGGCCGTGGAGAGGGGTTGGAACACTTTCATCTTCTCCAATTATTGCCGTGACCTTGCTGTTGAGTGGTCCTGTAAGCATCTTCTGCTCTTCTAAATGTCTGTGGGATTTCTTTCCTACTTTTTAAGTTAAAAAATTAAATATTAAAGTCTAATACGAATTACGATCGTGTTTGGTTAAGCACAGGGAGACATGATCTAGTCTAATGACAATATGTAAAATTAATTAACTTTTGCCGTGTTTGTGAATTTCTACCTGACAAATGTAGATTTTCTTACACTAGTTCAAGTGTCTTGTTTATGATATCTTTCGCTGCTACTTATAGAAGATTCACTTTAGTAATCAATTTTTAATTTTTCTGACGTTTTAGTATGATTAGAGATGTTCTACACTTAACTATTATTCGTAAATTATGATTTATTTCCATATATGTACATGTGATGGAGGTGTAAGCGGTCTTGTTCAATATGATTCTGCTTGTCTTCTGATTTCAGGGGAGCCTGCAAAGATTATTAATGACATTTCTCAGAAACTCATTTTTGCTATACTGCAGCTATTGCATTGATACATCCTCTCTTCATTGAAGAAGGAAACTTAATTGACGGTGAGCAGAGAAAAGTTGCTAATTTCTTTGAGATCTCTTCGCCCCAGCAATTAGAGAAGCTCCAGCCATTGAAAGAGGAAGCAGAAAATGTTGTCGTCGATCTCTTGGGTTGGCAGGTGAGTAACCAATTCAACCCAACTAAATTTATTAATACATTATTATGTTCATCTATCAATGACCTGATTTGTTGTATGATACTGTAGTTACCAGCGCCCAAATTGTATGAGATAATCCCTCATACTATATGCAATCAAAATTCAGTTTGAAGAAGGTTTTTCTTTTGCCACGTGTCTAAATATGATGGCATATTCATTATATTTAATATAAGTTATTGAATATTCATCGAAGTGCTATGTATGTCCAGAAAGTGGCCATTTATGTGATCTATTCGTTTTAAGTGATCTTTCCATATGTATTGGTTATATATGTCCATCTTTATGTGTGTCTCAGGTGATACCTGCAGAGAATATTGTTGCAGCGATTCAAGGCACTCAGAAAACAGTCTTTGCCATCTCAAAGACATCATCTGAAGCACAGATTTTTCTTGAGGTGGTATCCTATGTTAGGAATTAACTTGCAAGAAAATGCATTTTTTACCTATCAAAAAAAAAAAAAAAAAAGAAGATTTATTTTTAATGTGAGGACTTGGACATTATTTCTTATCTGCTCTAGGTTCTGTTTTACTGAACATTGCCCTATACCGTGCCTTGTTCATTTCATTAATCAATTCTAGTAGGCCTTGGAGCACGGTCTAGGCGGTGTGGTTCTGAAAACAGAAGATATAAAATCCCTCCTTGAGCTGAAGGTAATGCCTTCTCCAAAATGGTGCTTCTTCTCCCCTTTGTGAGTCTATAAACCTTATAAGATTCTATCTATCAGGATTATCTAGACAGAAGAAATGAAGAGTGCAGTCTTTTGAAATTGACAACAGCCACGGTAACTAATATTCAAATGGCTGGAATGGGTGACCGTGCCTGTGTTGATCTCTGCAGCCTTCTGAGACCCGGTGAAGGACTTCTGGTTTGGCCCATTTGACATAATTTATGATCTCTCCAGTTTATGTTTCTATTTTAGATTCCTTGCTAATTAATGCAATTTCCTTTCTTATTTTGTGTGTTTCTCAAAGGTCGGATCCTTTGCAAGAGGGCTCTTCCTTGTTCATTCAGAATGCTTAGAGTCAAATTACATTTCTAGCAGGCCTTTTCGAGTCAATGCGGTGAGCTTTGGCTTTATGAAGTTAAGCAGACAACTTCAAGACTACAAAGAACTGTTAATATCTGTTTTAAAAATAAGGTTTTTTTTTTTTCTATTTTTTTAATTTTTTAATTTTTTAAGCTGCAGCTAATGCATCCAATATTAAGATGGAAATGGAGAGGAGGGGATTTATTTTGGCACTTTCAAATAATGAAATTTGTAATCAGATAAAATAGAGTGCTTAGGAAAAATTTATCTTAATTCCAACAATGTCCTGCCTGATACTTTTATTCGTCATCAACCATTAGTTTGTTTTTTCAGTAATTGCCCAACTGAACTCAAGTTCAAAGGCTTTAGCATTAGCCCTGGATTTTGAAAATGATAAAAATCCATTGAGGAGCTCTATTGCCAATGAGAAGTATGAAAAATTACAAAATAGCTATTCAAATTGAGAAACAAAAATCATCCGGACTATGCTTTATTTACAGTTTTCTAGAAAATGAAATGAAACGTCCCTAAACATTATAGTCTCCTGGATATTTCAGGGACCAGTTCATGCCTATGTTTCAGTTCCAGGAGGGAAGACTAGCTACCTTTCAGAGTTAAAAGCAGGGAAAGAGGTGATTGTTGTTGATCAAAACGGCATGCAGCGAACAGCTATTATTGGACGTGTAAAAATCGAGACTAGACCATTAATTCTCGTGGAGGCCAAGGTTCGTATACTTCATATTGCCAAAATAATCGTAAGATATTCTGCGTTTGAATGTGTATATGTTTGATTAACTAGAAGTTGGTAATGACTAATGGACAACCTGTGTCTTTTGCTATTGTAGATAGATTTGGATAACCGTACTACTTACAGCATTCTTCTGCAAAATGCTGAAACGGTTGCTCTAGTTTCCTCTGGTAAAGGTAAATTCTTAATTAAGACAACTATATTAAAACTACATTTCGTTTTCCATTCCATGATGATCAGTATATGCAGCAGGTGGACATCAACAAACAGCAATTCCTGTAACCTCACTCAAGATAGGTGATGAAATTTTGATGAGATTACAGGGAGGCGCTCGCCATACCGGGATAGAAATAGAAGAATTCATTGTGGAGAAATGACTCTTGTGGAGGAATATTTGTATACTGATTTGTAGAATCAATTGTATAATGCGTGAGTTACCACCAGATTTCGACTAGAAATTGAACCTGATGATAGGTCCACTGCATTGTGATGTTTATGACTCGGATGATTTTTTTCTGTGGATCAACTGTGTATTGAATAAGGTAATCTGAATGCACGCGAGTATCACATATGAGATGATTTTTCAAAGCTCTGATCATTATCATGATGAGGCGATTGTTAATTTATAATTCATGCAACGGCTTAATGTCTTGTTGCTGCTGGCAACTTTATATTTACTAAACCCTTCAACAAGAGAGATTCGGCCTCTTCCAAATCTGTGTCAACTCGAGCCCTGTTACTATGGCTGTGCAAGCCTCTGTTAATAAAGATGTAAAAAAGGGGATCCCATCGACTTGGCCTGGCCTATGTTGACCTATGTTCTTAAAGATTTATGCATTCTTGAGAAAGTTGACGAAAAAAATTTCACATCCTTGAGAAAGCTAACAACGATGATGGTTGATATAGAATATGGAATTTTTAATAAGTTATAACCAAAAGGGGTTTGGAGTCAAACAACTATACACAAAATATCCAACTCCATCATTCTGTATACTGAAATACCAACTCAGAATTCACCAAACAAGCAAAATAGGGCCCAGAAATCCTCTAAAACTGCACCTGATCTCTCACCTTGAATGTGAGAACCAGCCACACAACAAAAGAATTTTATAAAGAATGATACGAATGCGTTCTAGTTATGTTTCGCCTGGTTTTGGTGAACGGAGAGGCTGAATATGTTGATTTGGTGAGGCTTGCCGACGGTATGGCAAGGCAGGACTCCTAGTCGGCTGCCCATTCTTCAGCGAACCAACTTGCATTCTGGCAGCAGCACGTTCCGAGTGCATGGCCTGGAAATAGGACGAGGAACAGGCCATGTCCTTCAAATTAGGCAACGGTTCAAGGGCTTCAACAACTTCACTCATCAGAGGTCGAGCTTTGGCATCACGGCTAAGGCATAGAGCCGCCAACTGCACAGCCTTCTGCGCACCTTTTATTGAGAAACGACCCTCTAGACTTGGATCTAAGAGCCTATAGAACCTTCTCCTTTCTCCAAGATATGGTCTTGCCCATTCCACCAAGTTATGTTCCCCATTTGGCCGGCTTTTGTCCATTGATCTTCTCCCAGTTAACATTTCAAGCAAAACCACCCCAAAGCTGTAAACGTCACTCTTTGCTGTTAGATGTCCTGGCACACAATGAGGCATGTAAAGCAAGATGAATATGGAAAAAAATCTGAAGGGGCAGAGAGAAATTTTTAAAATATATGATCATCAGCACTCAGTTTGAGTGGTTTAGGTACAGTTCACTTGTATATTCAGATCACCGCCTAAAAACCCTAGCCATGAGATTGCCATGTAAAGTAAACCATCAGACGTTCCTCAATAAATATAAAAACAGAATGATCCAGAGGAAAAAATGAGCACTCAACAAGGGATTGCCTGGATAGGGGGCGCAAGTGTGCTCACCTGTCATCACATACTCGGGGGCAGCATAGCCATATGTTCCCATTACACGAGTAGATACATGCGTCTTATCTCCCTCTGGACCATCTTTGGCAAGACCAAAATCAGAAAGCTTTGCATTATAATCCTAGAGTACCAATTTTGAAAAGCAAAACCGTTAGAAAAGGAATCACGAAACTATTACAACATTAGCTAGGATTTCAAGCCCCATACTGCATCTAGTAGGATGTTCGAAGTCTTAAAATCTCTATATATAACTGGTCTTTCAGCTTCTTCATGAAGAAACGCAAGGCCCTTTGCTGCACCCAATGCAATTTTCATTCTTATGGACCAAGGAAGAGGCAGGGACCCTGCAGTGAAGAGAATATGGACAGAGTCATTAGTAAGGTGTGAACCCCGTAGCCAAAGATGCACGGTCAAATGCTTATCATCCATAACAATCAAGAAGAAGCTGAAAAGATTTTTGACATGATACTAACAATGGAAATAAGATAAAAGAGAAACAATCCGAAAGTCATGATAAAGCTGAACAGAGAATTTTCATAAAGTGAGCTACTACAATACAATCTTTAGGAACCCTTATGTCAGAAATGACCAGCTTCCTCGTTTTTAGAACATTTCACTTGCAAAAATACAGATATATCAGACTGCTATCATGACGTGATGCAGAACTAACAAATAATTCTAGCATGCACTCGTTACTATTTGTCAAGGACATCATACAGTTCCAAATGATAAAATAGAATTGACTGAAATACAAAGAAATGAAAGCTAGTTTAAAGCAAGAATAAGAGATCAAAATGGATTACCTATTATGTGCAAAAGATATGTAGCCTTTCTAAGGCTTTACTGAAAACCACACGTGCACATGTGCACAGAATTTTATAGAAAGGAAAGGCGGCCTCCTACCTTTTTAACAGATACAGTTATCTCAAATTACCTTAAAAGGATCTATTTAACATAGCAAGATCGTAAATAGAAATCCACGACGACTAGTGGTGCCTACAATGCCCCACTTCATCAATGAGCCAGCATGATCCAACATTTCCAGCACAACGTTTCACCTATCCCACACAATTTAAAGGCAATTCTTTTCACCCCTTGTGATTCAACATAAAACTCATGTCACCATGATCTCATCTGTATTTATTCAAATTAAAACATGCTCATTAACTTGCAAGAGCAAGGTATCTTCATGTTTATGTTCTGCATCCCTACTCTTACAGTCATCTTGGATGCCAAGCAGATAAATTTTACATAGAAGTCTGTAATTCTGCTCCTATCTTGACATGTAACCTTGTTGTTCATAAGACATCTTTTATAGCATGCAGAACTAAAAATGAAGTCTATAAATCCTTTTGTTGTTAAGAAATAAAAGTTTATTAGTCATGATATAAAGATACATACATCAAGAGAACAAGTCCTCTTAAATATAATAACATGTTTACAAAAAATAAAAAAATAGGACATGCTTCTCCAACAAAGAACAAATAAAATATAGGAAAATCCTTGAACTTGTCAGATACAGAAGCCATTTAAGAAGCCAAGAGTTGATCTTCACAAAAAACTCAGAGTTGTGCGCTATATCACAAAAACTAGTCCGTATACATGTGTGCGCACACATGCAAGCAATTAACAAAATTAAAATATCAGATAAATATATAGATTAATAACCATGTGTATATATGATATACTGAAAGTAGTCATATTTTTGGTACAAGCTACTTTGATAAAATAAATCTAATGTCACGAGCACAAGCATATCACAAATTGCATCTAAGTGTTTCTTTACATCCAAGAAATCATATCTATTTAGAGGTCCTAATACAAAAATAGTGAATAGCAGAGACGTTTAAAAAAATCCAAAAAATAAAATAAAATACATACTTCTAAACAAGTGATTCTCCAAGCTTCCCCGAGGCATAAACTCATAGACAAGGAGCCTTTGGTCATCCTCTATGCAATAGCCTATTAATTTAACCAAATGTAGATGGATGAGGTCACCGAGATAATTTACTTCAGCCTGCAAAATGTGAGTCACTTGTTACGTATGCAGAAAAATATGGGCCCTTAAATTCATGAATGAGGACAGTAGTTTCATACAAGCCACTCTTTGTGACCCTGAAGTCCATCATGATTGAGAGTTTTCACGGCAACCGTGAGCCCCGTGCCAGGTTTAACTGGTGCAAATCCAGTCTCGTTGATCCAACCTTTGAAAACACAACCAAAGCCACCCTCACCAAGGAGACTGTCAGGCCTAAAGTTCCTCGTGGCAATCTTCAATTCATTATAGGTGAACCTTCGAAGCTGAGAAGCAATTTTCAATTCCTCGCCTACAATAGGAGTAGACGGTATGCTTTCTGTGTTGCTGGTTGTTGAAGATGATATGACTGGAGCAACTGGTTGGTCTCTACTCGTATCATTTGTAGATTTACTTTCAGCTGTTACACACATTTATGCATCATCAAATTCTTAATTGGCATCTTTGAACACAACAAAAGTTATTGGAAAAAAAATCTACCAATTACAAAATAGAACCCCGTCTATGACAAAAGACCACCTAGAAGATTAGAACAATCGCAACATGTTCAAGCACAACCAATTGCAAAAGTACTACTAAGGCATATCCAAACTCTAAATCATTTGTTCAGAGAACAATATCACACATCATATTCCAAGAAAAATTGCTGTGAACTAGGTCTTGTAAAACCACACAGCATGCATTTGATGGTTAAATTTTGTAATTTGGAACTTCTGAAATTCTTTATAATAGTTATAACTTGAACAGTGTCTTTGAACACAACGTATACGTATGTGAGTTGCTAGACAAAAATACAAGATACAATCTAGCAAAGGCACATTCCTCAACCGCACAACTGAGTTATAGCCTGTAGTGCTTGTGATACAAATTTTATCACGTAGATAATTTCTTGTCAAGATGAATATTCTATGATCCAACGTCCACTCAAGCCCTTTCTCCCATGCCCAACAACTCATTTGTCGCACACTTTTTGCAAGAGTACTTCGCGCCACAACCATCTCCTTTTCATAGGTTCTACGGACCGATGGGTGCTGCTTCATTTGGGAGAAAAGAATCATAGATATGCTGTTTTGAATTTTTGAGTTTTGAGTTGCGATCAAAGAGTTAAAACTCTTATGATTGCCCAATGGATTCGAATACAAATTATCCCAAAATTATCCACGAATTTGTATATGCAAACGATTCATGTCCGGAATATTAAAAATAAATACAGATCTTGAAATGTTTTATGGTGACATATGAATCATATAGCTTGGTGTTTGTATAATTAGCAGCTTACTATGTCTGAGACAACACTAAATGCAGATATATACAAAAGTAGTCAAGTTTTCTATCTTACGCTAACTTGTGAAAAGGACGTAAATCATGCATGAGTAAAAGGTTTTATTGACTATTGACCCCAAAGGCAGGACAAGTTTCCCGATATAGACAATCTTGATTGCAAAAGAAGTATGGAATAGTTATTCAATCACGGCTACTCGGCAAGATATCCCCGTAACTTCGGGAGAAGGGGTGCCGCTTCACAGAGGGGTCGCAGTGATCGGGCCCGGGCGACAGTTGACCAAAAACACAGGTCTCTGCATAAGAAAATGTTTTTGATAATCCTGTTTCCTTCAGGATGCATTAGCCAACACCAGACTCAGCTGTTAAGTCGCAGTAGTTTTTTCCAGAAAATGCACAAGCAAAATCCGGTAAAAGATGTAGAAAGAGCAGCAACCATGCAACATATATCATACAAAGGCAAAGTAATGAGTTAGCTTAATAAATTCATTTTATCACCAATTATAAGTTATCTTCTCCCATTTAAACTTCGGATTCTTTCAGAAAACCTATCTATTTTGCTAAAAACAAAAGGGATTAGGTTTTTTGCAATCACATCTCATACTCCATAAATCATAAGTTTCTAACCAAATTTGATGATCACCTCTGAGACATTCAAGATGGAAAGAAACTGGAAAGAGAAAGAAAATCATTTTCATACATGAAAACATTACATTTCAAGTACCCTAGATGATTATTTCTGATCTAATGGAACATTTTTTTAGAAAAACTTCTGTTACTAAAACCACTGCGTACATTTCCTTGTGGGTGGTAAATGACAGAGAAACAAGATACTGTCTAATACTGAAAGGTCAAGCAAAGTTATCGTTTCAATGTCCCCGAGAGAACGTGAATATACCTCATGGTAGAAGTTTCTTCCAATTATTCTTTTGCATGTCGGCAGGGGCATTGTTAAGGTTATTCCCCGCTCTTTGTTTTATAAATTCTTTCTCTTTCTTTAAATCATATACTCATGCAAAATGGATCATGACTAAGAGAAACACAAATTTCCTTTTCTAGTTTCAAAGATGACAACAAACATCTTTCAGGAAGAAGGAAAACCTAACGTAAATAGTGATTGTCTCTCATAAGCTCAATGGCCGAGAACAAGATGCAGAAAACATATTGGTTACCACCACATGCACGTATAATTAAGAAAAGTGCAACCGCCGTAATCACAGAATCTTGTAGGACAAATACAAATATGTTTCTCTTTACAGCAAGCAAAATCCAAAGAAAACACCATTCACTGATTACTCACAAAACACACATTTAACTTGCGCCTTAACAGGCAGATCGTTACATGTAATCATCACATTAAAATCCAACATATTCTCCAAAAAAAAGAGCAACAATGAATTAATTTTAGCGTCATCTGTTCCTCTACATATCCACAAATAGAAACCTCCATATCAATAATCTCGCAAAATTATAAGTAATCTGAACAACATTGCAGAAAGATGTTAATTGTATACCATATTGCGAGCTCGAGCCACTAACGGAGCTATCAACATTAGCCCTAGAAGATATGCAGCTTCCAAAGAATCTGAACTTAATCCAACAACCAGTCGCCTCAGCATTATCTTCATCATCATCGTTGTGTATGTTTTTCCTTCCCTTCGATTTTGATTTGCTCACATCCATAGAACCAGCATTGATAGCTTCAAGACCTAGGCCCATTTTCCTCCAAACCCTACAAGAAAATTCCCATACATCAAAAATTAAATAATCAATTTATCAAAAGCTCCCTCTTTTCACTCTGCTCTTATCCGAAGTTTGTTTTTTTTTTCTTTTTTCTTTTCTTTTTTTTTTTTCACTAATCCAAAGATACCTAACAAATCGATAAGACAAAAGGAAAAACAGAAAAAATCCAGGTAAACTAAAAAAATTTCATTTCATATAAATTTGATAAAACAAAAAAGAAAAGAAATTTCAATGAAAAAAACACAAGCCCAGATGAAAAAAATTGAATGAAAAGCGCAAAAATGAATTGAAATGCATTTCTTAATTCTATAAAGAACATGCAAAACAATGACCCACAAACTAAAGATGAATGTATGAATTTAAAACCCAGGTCCAAGAATGTACATTCAAAAATAAAGCAATTACACTCGCGCATATTTCCTTTTCACTCGCGCCCACATATAAACACACACACAGAGAACTCTAGACAAAGAACAAGCAGTGATATACTGTCTACGCCCATTTGGCCATTCCAAAGAGAAATGGTTTGTTCCGAAGAAAGAGACTGACACGAGGCGTTTTCGAGGCCAAACAAGGTGTGTAACGTGTGCGTATGTGTGAGTGTGAGTATTGTAGTGAGAGAAAAAGAGGACTGAGGGAGTAAGGGAGAAACGTGCGTTTTGCGTGAAAAGAAGTGAGAGAAAAAAAAAAATTTCGAATTTGAGAAGGCATTGTGAAGGTGAAATAATAATATTGGCTTATTCGGATGATGATAACTTGATGGTTGATTTCTGATTGGTCTGTCATATAGAAAATTGTATGAGCAATGTGAGTATAGAACTTTCTCTATTGCTTTTTCTGGGATTTATTGCTAATTTCCTTTTCAAATTTGGGTTAAGGAACTTTTGTATTCTGCAGTCTTTCATTAACATTTCTGTGTTGTTCCTTTTTCTTTTACTTTTTCTTTTATGTTTTTTTTTTCTTTGTTTGGATTAGTCTTGCGTTAAACTAGCGTGGGCTCATCCCCGCTTCACTAGCAAGTCGAGATGTGAATTTCTTGAGTAACTCGCTCAAGTTGGCTCGCAAGCTCATCAGCTCGTATGCTGATCAATTTGTCAGAAGCTCATAAGTCGATTCATCATAATGAGTGAAATATGTCTTTTTAATAATAAAAAAAATGATAAGTTGGGGCATCAAGATACAAGTCGAGTCATAATTTGGTTGAGCAAGTAGACTCGCTCTAGGCTCGACTCGCCTCTTAGACGAGCCCGAAGCTGAACCGAATGGTTCATCCCATCTAACTCCTCTAAGTTAAACTCATTTGAAATACTAATCTTAAATATTTAGGTTTAAGAGAAGGGAAAGAAATTGAAGTTATTATTTTTACATATTTGGATTTAAAATAAATACATAAATTAGAATGAAATCATATTATAGATGTGGATCCTACAAATTTGTGAATAGTAAGTGTGCATGATATGTGTGTCCTATAATATGCATGAATAAAAATATGTTTGATCTACTTAAATTATAATTTGAGTTTTTCCAAAGGTGCATAATTAATTTGCATAGTAGTGCTTTTAAATTTTTATAAGCCGTGGGTCCTATGAAATATTTGGAAAACAAGTGTAGAGACTAGTTTAAATTAAACTTAAGGTTCATTAGATGTGCAATTAACTTATTCCCCTTTCTTTAACATTAAACATTTTTTTGTAGCATTCTTAGGTGTTGATAAGCTATGGATCTTAGATAAATTGGTTCAACAAGTAGTTTACAATTATGTCCCTATTTGGCCTCCATTAATTTTTCTTTCATTACATTTTATTTTTCTCTCTCTAATTTTTCAACCACACAATCTTTCATAAAATAATATTACACGTAAATCGAAAATTTTTCTTTCTTTTTCAACCACTCATTTTTTTTAAAAATAAAAACACCATTCCACCCATTTTCATTACTACAAAATGGGGGCTATATATTTCTTGGTTGGTGAGGAAAATTGAAATAAGATTGATTGAAAATGAACTAAAAATCGAAGTCATGATCGTAATTCTAAATATTTATTTTTGTTAGAATTTTTCTTTTTTTTTTCTTTTATATGAATTTAACACTTTTAAAACATGACATGATAATGACTTAGCATACCATGCATCAATATATGTAGGCTTGAGTACAACTTGATTTGGGTTGGTTTCGATTCTAACTTGAAACCAAAATCAAATTAGTTGATTCGAGTGAATTTCAACATATTCTAGCTCTTAAATTGAATTGAACCGAACCAAATCAAATTGATCGATTTGGTTCGTTCAGCTCGATCTGTCAATTTGAACTACTCCAAATTGAATTTTTGAAAAAAAAAAAAATTGTTCAAGTTTTGAGCTCACCTGGATTATAAAGAACTGAAATAACTAAATAATTTAATATTACAAGAACCATTGACTAATACATAAAATCAGGATAATAGAGACAGATCAACGATTAAATTACTTGATTGTCTGAGTAGGAAAAAATGATAAATATAACATAATGAGCTTGTAAAAGAAAATTCTCAGTGCTATTACTTACTGGCTATGATTGGAGAAAATCGAAATATAGTTATGAGATTATAACTATCTTTTTATTTTCATTTTTCTTAAAAAAAGGAAAAAAGATAAATATATAAGTGGGTTGGAATGTGTATGAGTTGTTTATTTCAAGAATAGGCTGGATCCAATCAGCCTGACAATGAAGCAGCGGTTTGAAACTTCAAATCATGATTGAATCAACACACCTTGGTTTTGTTAAAAAAAGAAAAGAAAAAAAAGTCAAATCAATTATCTATGTCAAAGTGATTCAGACGAACTTGAGTAGGTTCGATTTGACTGGTTTGATCAATTTTTCCTTTTTTTTTCCCTCGAGCCTTTACATGGGATTGTTGCTGGGGGATTTTTCTAAATGGCCTATCACTATTCATTCTTGCTAAAATGTATATATTACCCTTAATGAAATGGCTTGCCATATTTTGCACAAAATACCCTGATTTATTGGAATAGTTCTAAAATTCTTCTATTTCTCCCATTTCGAATTTTAATATATAGTTTCATCCTTTGATTTAATAAATTAGCATAATCAATAATATAATTGTCATATAATTCTTTAAGATTATCATATTTCTTAGATGATATATCCATAGTCTCTAGTTGAGAAAAAATATTTTTTCTTTTTTTTAATAGTCTTTCTAACGGATTATCTAATCCCTTAATTGTATAGCCTGGCATTATATAGATAATTCCTTACAAGCTTTATAATAATAACATGATAGATAAGTTTTTGCAAACATGATAAGTAATAATCCTTACGATTCTTTCAAGATATTAGAAGAATTCTTTTTAAATTTAACAAAGACAATAATTTTACCTTACTTTTGATCTTAAATCTATATTCTTAGAATCGAGTGACATTCAGACTCTGAATCTGCAAACTGCTCCGTCAAACGGCCTTTTCCCTCAATGGGAATAATGCTATTTCAGCTTCTTGCCCTCACTGTATCTTTTCTTTGAATTAAGAATAAGGATCTTAAGTAAAGAAAATTCTCTCTTTGTTAAAGTAAGAAAGAAATTATCTTCTTCAATTTGTCAAGAATCTACGGGATAGAAAGTTTAGAAACTCATATTTTCCTAATATCAAAAGATTGAAATTTATTTATAGAATGATTTATACAATGTTTCTATTGTATACAAGGGGTTTCCAGAAAAAATTGATTTTAAACAAAACTTAAGGAAAGAGAATGATTTCTAACTTGAGATGCCTCATTCTTTCCCCCAAAGACTTCTATTTATACATGACTCAAACTTGCTATTATTGGTCTATTTCATATATCAGAATTTGAAAAAGGTTCACATGCCTCTCTATTCTTTTTCTCCTGGGGTCTACATTTTCACATGCGTTTTTTGCTTTTTCATCAAAGAGACATCTTTTCCTCTATTATTGCATCTTCATCTTTGGTTCCATATACAACTGGCTAGATGCTTTGGTAGTGGTAGGTCCCCTTTTATTTATCTCCATTCATCTTTTATTTTGAAGAATCAATCTTTTTAATCTTGTCTGCATGTGGGGCACTCTCTTAGTTTGCATGATTCTTGGATTGTTGTAGGACTTCCATTAATTTGATGAGTATCAAATTTTTGGATATATTCTTTCAAAATAGTAGATTTTTCTTTTCCATTATTTGTAAGGAGTGTTCATCCTTCATATTGACACAAGTATCTGAATTTTTTATCATATAAGTTCTTTGCAATGTTGTAAAGAACTTTCATTCCCAAAACTCTTCGGGATTTTATCCATGATTTATTGATTTTAGGCAATGGTTTATTATTTCTGCCAACTTCAATCTGGAAATCTCGGCCAACATATCCAATTGTGATAATATGTTCAGCGGGATAGTATATCCTTCCATCCACCTCGGGACTTATTGAATAAAATTTGACATAAATCGATCTCCCTTGGGCAAATTTTGAAACTTCTGCCCTGAATATATCATCAAATTTTTCAATTTCTTTTAAATCTTTTCCTGGATAGATCAAATTCAGAAATCTATAATCTGCTGCCATTTTGACCATGAAAGGGTCTGCATCTTTGGTAATTATTAATCTGGAATAAATATGATCTCCTGAAATAAAATATGATTCATTTATTCCAATTCATAAACAATTTTGGCAAATGATCTATATTCTTCTTCTTTTGATGAAAAAGTGGTATAATCATTTTCATCAGTTTTGATCCTGATAACTCTTTTATGTTCATCACCATTTTTTATAGTCATCTTCTGGGGACTTGCTATGTCTCGTTTGATATTACTGGGTCCACTGTTACTTCCTGGCTGTGTATCTGTTTGTATTTTTGAGATTGTATTTACTGGTATTTCCTGTTTGGTATTTAATGACTCGAATTGTGAAGTAATATCATCAATTCTATCATTCAATTCTTTGGTATATTTGGAATGAGAATTAGAGATTTCCACCAGCAATTTGACATTTTGTTGGACAGATTCTGCCATTTGCTCTAATTGCTCAATTCCAATTTTCATATCTTCTGATTCCTCCATGAGGAATTCCATTCGTTTTTTGACGTCTATTAATGAATTTTTGATATTATCCATCTCCGAATTCGATATTCTTGCTCAGAAAATCTGCAAGATAATTATTTATTTCTTTAATATGAACAACATCAAAATTGTAAAATGATAAATATGCTTGCCATCTGTGTAACCTTCTATATTAAGGTTCCATAGGTAACTTATTTTTAATAAGTCCTGCAACTTGAGAATTATCAATTTCAACAATAAATTTTTTTAGATAAAAGGAATAATGAAAACTTTTTTATTCCTCTAATAATTGCTAACAATTCTTTTTCATGAGTAGTATAATTTATTTCTGTTTGGTTAAAAGTTCCACTTGAATATCTGCATATTTCATTTAAATATGTTTTTAATATAGCTACCCAATATTTATCCGAGGCATCAATATTAACAATTAAATTATCTTTTTCATCTGATAATCTTAATTTTGATAAATTTTTACATTCTTCTTTTAATAATTTAACAATTTCAGTATGTTCTTTATTTCAACCTTTAGTATTTGTTTTCCTAAATAGAATTTGTATCTTATGTCTCTTTTTTGAGAGATTTTCAATAAATCTTTCAGCATAATTTAGACATCCTAAAAATTTTTGTAT